ATGTCTCTGCTTTTTAATATGCTATCTAGGTTTGTCATAGCTTTTCTTCGAAGGGCATAGGATGAGGTCAGAAAAAGTGGGGCTAGATCATGTAGGACCACATGAGCAAAAAAGTTTGGATTTTAGTTTTCATGTAACAGGAGGCAATTGAAACGTCCTAAGCAGGAAAATGACATATTCTGATTTATTTATTTGTTTTTACCAAGTATCCCTCTCACTGGTGTTTGTGGACCAGGCAGGAAGGGGTCCAGAGAAGTGAAGTCCCTAGTTGGGAGATGAGAGCTAAGAATGTGGGTTAGTGCTCTTGGCAGTAGAGATGCAAGAGATGTGGGGACAGATGGAGATATTTGGGAGGTAAAACTAAGAGGCCCTACTGATGGGACATGATCAAATGGGAGCTTGGGGAAAATATAAGATTGAGATAAAGAGTGAAATCAAGGATGTCTCCTACATATCAAGTTTAGGCAACAGCATAGATAGTGGTATCATTTGTTGAGCTAGGAGTGATCGGAGAAGAGCATGTGTGGAGAGAAGGGAATCAAGAACTCACATAATGATAGATCTTATCACACAGAATGGGCTTGAGGGGAAAATGCTATAGATATATATCCTTCAGTACAATGCCTAGCGCTTCAATACTCAGTATTTTATTGTTTTTCTGTTAATATTATTATTACTCATGAAGGACTCCTCATTGGAGACACCAGATGCCCTTGATCAGTAAAGACATGATAATTCCCTTGGACTCAATAATCATACTTTTATTTTCTCCAATGGAAAATAAATATTACTTTTGAAAACCCTGCAGTGGTGATAGAAGGATGGGATAGACTCATGTGTGCCTCGAGCAACATCAATCAAACTTTCAGCCAAGTTTTGATTACAAGATCTTTATTTCTGGCAATGATGTAAGAAGCAGAAAGCGCACAGCTGGATTTTCAGTACTAGGTGGATACCACATGTTCTGAAAATTGGAAAAAAGCATCTTCTAACTTGGAAGTTGTGGTGATTTGTCTGGAGTAGTTAGAGGGAAAGTAAATACAAACCTTCCCCTACCCCCAACCCCTCATGGTACCATTTACAGAGTAAGTTGTCTGGCTGTAACTGTCCTGTTTGGTGTTTGCTAAGCATCCAGTCTTTTGGCCGGTATTGTTAGGTGGGTGATTTTGCCCTCTGATTTCTATACCTATGGTTTATTTTTACTAGCATAGGAAAGTAGCATAGATTTTGGTAGTTTGCCAACCTAACTACATATTAGACTGCTGACAAATTAAAAAATAGTATGAGGCCAATTCCATGAAACCTAGACAATCTAGTTTTTATACAGTTCCTACATGAGTTTCATGGGCTGGTCTACAAATATAATTTGGAAACCATTGTTCTAATGGTTGGGGTGTTACGTTATGATTGCAAAACTCTAAATTCTATCCTTGCTTTTGCCAGTGACTAGCTTGCTGTGTGGCATTGAGCAAGTCACCTCATAGTTATTAATGTGCAGTTTCCTGCCTGGTAAAATGAGATGTTTTAGCCTCTGTTACTCCATCGGCATAAAGAAAATACAGAGAGCTTTGAGTCAGTAGAATATCTCAGTTGAAAGGCACTTTCACTAGAGTATCAAAAAAAAAGTCTTGGAATCTGTTCTGGTGAGGACCTGCCTGCGTGCTTTGTCTAATATCCTTCTTTGAAATGCAACCTGATTCACTTCATGACTTAAGAATTCTCTCTCTTTTTAAAATTCATACACATTATACAAAGGAGGTGGACCATTCTGAAAAAAACCAATGTTTTCATAATGATTTTATAAGTGTCAGAGATTACTCCTAAAGGTCACCAAACTGGAAGAAACACAAAGACAGTTTGGGTATCACTCGGGATTAAAGGTCTGCCTTTGCCTTAAAGGCTTTAGTCCTCTTCAGGGACCTACATGGAAATAAAATTTTCTGAAGCTGGGAGAAATACAAGACGCCCTGAATTCCTCCTGCAATCACAGTACCTCTTCGAACAAAATGAAAAGAACCAGCCCATGGCACTCAAGTGTCAACCGCCAAACCAGGGGCTCTCATCTCATAAGCCCGTGTAGATCGGCACCCTGGAGCTGTGAGACAGCCGGGGCTGTGAAGAACGGACCAATCAAATGCTTTGTGAGAAGCCTGTGGGCGGAGCCTGGGTTGTGTCATCTGGTGGAGTGACATGAAGAAGCCAGCCCCTGTATGAGGGAGGTGAAACTGTGAGGAGACTCCTTGAGGTTGAGGGGGCATAGGAACTCTTACAAGAAGGAAAAGATATTTCCTAGGGAATCAGGACCCTCCCAGTCTGACCCTTGTCCTGCCTGTAGTGCCTCCTCTGGGGCACCAGTGTGAACTGTGCCGCTTCCGACCCCCTCGCAGCCTTCTTCCTCCTTCATCACCGATATGACTGGTGGTTTGCAGCACAGGCCCTGTCACGTTGCCTGGGTACCACCCACAGCATCCAGCTCACTCTTCCCCAGCCAAGTTCGATCTGTCTCCCCTCACCTCTGAGGTTATTAAACTGGCAAAGAGATATATGAAATCGACATTCTTGAATGGCTCTTCACTCCGGGCAAGGAAAGGCAAGACTGTTTCCATGGTTGAAGTGTTCCAACCAATTCAGAGAAAAATACCACATGAAGTCAAAATATTGTCGTCCTGGCCAAGCAAGGGTTTTCCTTTATAACCATGCTGACATGCAAGTTTTAGAGCCTTGCCTCTCCCCTGGTGTCAGTGGTATTGCCTGCTCCCTGCAGCCGGGGGATGTCAGTTCAGCCGAGGTGGGGGGCGGATTTCATCTGTGGGACGTGGTAGAAAGAAGAGAGTCTCTGGGAGGATATAAACTCTGTAGTGTGAAAAAGGAGTCGAATATCCAGGCTTGGAGAGAGACAAACGCAAGCTTCATTATAGTAAAAAGAACTGCCTACACTTCCTTGAAGATAGATTTGAGAAAGCATTTTGAAAATGTCATCTTCCTTTGGGGAAAGAAACCATATAGTGCATGATTTCATTTATATCAAGTTCAAGAACAGGCAAAATAAATCCATGCTGATGAAAGTCAGAAGAGTATGGGTTGCCGGGGTATTCAGTTGGGAAGGGAGATTTTTAGGGGGACTGGAAATTCTCTGTGTCTTTATCTGAATGATGAGTACCCAGGTTATTCACATGTAAAAATTTCTTAAGCTGTATACTGAGTCATGCAGTTTTCTATATGTAATTTATTGCTCAATGCAAAAATTTCAAATGAATCTTCTTTTCTTTCTTTTTTGGTCACACTTACAAATGTGGCATCCGAATAAAGGACTGTTCAGTAGGAAAGAGATGTTATGGATACTCAAAGTGGATTATAAAGCATAACATGCAGTGGAACCTGAACCAGGAAGGACCACAGGATTCAGTGGCAGGTTGACCGGGGTCCAAGTCCTGTCTGCAGCTTTAACTGTGGATCTTTGAGCTAGCTTTAAATCTCTCAGGCTCAGTTTTCTTCTCCGAAATGTGGATAATAATATTTACCTTTAACCACTATTTGGGCAATTCGGTGAAATAATGTGTAGGTATTTTGCCAAACACCTGAAATATAGCTCAAAAATAATATTTATTATTGACAGATACTAGATGTATGTCCACATAAACTATGATGCTAAAGATGCAGCTTCCAACCTAGTGGGAAAGACAAACATATACACATTTATAAAATAATTTGATAAATGTTATACTAGTATAATATTAGAATACTGGCAAAGCATGCAGGAGGCATTGTACAGAAGTCCATTAAAAGTGTGTGGGTGAGGGCCATATTTAAATTTTAAAAGGGCTTCATGATACTGGAAAATAACAATTCAAGGTCATCATGTGATTGAATCACTGGTTGTTGTTGTTGTTTAGTCGCTAAGGCGTATCCGACTCTGTAACCTCATGGACTGTAGCTGGCCAGGCTCCTCTGTCCATGCGATTTCCCAGGCAAGAATACTGGAGTGGGTTGCCATTTCCTCCCCCATGGAATCTTCCTGACCCAGGGATTGAACCTGCTTCTCCTGCTTTGGCAGGCAGGTTCTTTACCACTGAGCTACCAGGGAAGCCCTTGAATCAATGGACAAAGGATTATTTCTATTTTAGAATCACAAGATTATCTGACTGGGAATGTTCTGAATCAGAACTGGATGCATTAGAATAGCAAATGGAAAGCACGTTCAGTTTGGCAATGAGTTAGAAGGGAAATGGGATGGAGTTCGAAACGGTAAGACCTAATCCTACTGACTATCAACTACCTCAAATGCAGTTACTTTGGATGGAGGCCGTATCTCTGCATGGGAAGGAAGGGCAATTATTCCAGGGCAGTATTGAGTCATGTCTACTTTGAGAATCTGATGAAAGCTATGAACGCTTTCCAAGAAAAAAAAAAAAATGGACTTGTCAGCAAACAAAATGGCCATAGTCATTTCCAGTAATACTCTTGCCCTTATGAAATTCAGGGTAAGAGCTTCTGTTTTAAGAAGACCCCTGCTGCTGTATCTTCTCTCCTCTCTGGAGAATCAATAAATATTGGCAGCTTCATTGATTCCATTACCATATTAATACTGATGATCCTTAGGTGATTTCTGGGTAGTCCCCTGAGTGTGTGATAACCTTTGCTGTATGCCATCCTACCTGGTATTTCCCAGTGCACTGAAGTGTGAGACTGCTCCAAGATGACAACCTTAGAGAAAACCCAACTGCAAAATCTAGACGCTGCACAGATAGTTAACAAAGTCTCTGGAGAAGAATATACCAATATTACTAGACAATAGCTAATGCAATCACTGCCGTAAGTGCATTATTACTGTTTTTCCTTCCGTGGCTTAGAAATTAGGATGAAGAGGTAAGACACTGGGCTAACAAGTACCGACTGCTCCTGTCTATTGGCTAATCCCTGTCCCGTGTTGCTGAGGGTCCAGACTTCTCCCCATAACCTCCTTGAGGATTCTGATGGACTCTTTTGTTTTGTCTTATCAGCAAGTCCCTGAAGATCCAGTGCCTGGAGGGTGGAATCTGGGAGCAAGGCAGCTGTGTCCCAGTGGTGTGTGAGCCCCCCTCCCCTGTCTTTGAAGGCATGTATGAATGCACCAATGGCTTTGAGCTCGACAGCCAGTGTTTGCTCAACTGTAACCAGGAAAGTAAAAGGGTAAGGATGACTTGAACTTGTATTTTCGATCAGGCTGTGCTCCAATCTTGGTGACCAATCCAAGAATGTTGAATAAAATAATCTAAATGAATGGCAATGGGCAGGGCCTAAGTTGGGATTCTAACCAGAGATGTTGGTATCATTTAATAAGGAATTCAGAAGATACTACGTTCTTGGAATATTCTCTCCTCTTGGATAAGAAGAAAAACCTGATGGGTTCGATACCTGGGTAAACTGCAAAAAGGCTCAGATTCTGATTTGGCAGTGTGATTTCCCCCAAACTAACTTGGCTAGAAATGCTGGTATCATTCTTTTTAATAGAAAACAGTCTTGCACAGAAATACAAATTCCTCAGCAAAGGCAAAGTTGAAAGCACTGTTGGACTGTTGTTCTCCCTAGGATTTTGGCGCAAGAGGTCTCAAACAAAAACCACAGTCTTATCGTGGTTATGTGACTAAAATCAATTTTATTTTAGAAGCTTTTCAAGTACCCTACACAAACCCGAGACAGGAAGTTAAGCAGACTTCCTAAGCAAAGATCAATGACCTTACCTTCTCTCCTGGCACATGCCTTTATTTCAGTGTTCAGTACTCCAAGATAAAGACTACAGGACGCATGTGAAAAGACTACTCCATGAAATGAGTCCCCTGGGAAATCAAGCACACCTGCCTGCACTAATTGTTTAAGGGCTTAAGGAGTTGGCAGGATGAAGGGAGAGTTATCTGTAATTCTAAAATCTTATTTTCTTGGGCTTTGTGAGTTAGTGCTATTCTCTATGTTTCTGCGTATAAGATACTTGGTGATTACTGGAGACATGAAGCCAAGAGTTACACAAATGAGCAAACATGTAGAGAAAGGGAATAGAACTTTGATGAGACAAAAAGCAGCTATGACGTGTCCATTTAAGCAGACAGAAAAGCAAAAAGCACCTTCAGAAAAATTATGAATTAGTCCCACTGGCTCAAACTCGTCTTGCAAAAAATCTGACATTTGTCACAAGCAGCAGTTGTGGGAGAGTATGAATGGATCAATGCAAAAACAACACCATCTGGGAAAAAAATTTCCCAAAGCTATCTCAGAATACATGGGTCACATTTGGTAGCTTACTGTATCCTTATATCCAAAGGGAAACACACTGTTAATGATTTTCTAATGACAAAATTATTCATGATTCCTTCACATCAAAACAGCAAAAACTTGTCTTGACTTTTTTGGGTAAAAGTCAATAGCAACATAGTTTATTATCTCAATAGTGTCTTTTAATCCAGGTTCTCCAATTGGAGAATGCTACCATTTAAGCAGACCACTTTTGTCCACACTATAAAAGAAGTTAGCAAAACTATAATATCCATGTTTTCAACTTTTGATATTCTAGCTTCCCATCCTCTGCACAAAGGAGGGACTGTGGACTGAGGAGTTCAAGTTATGTGAGAACCTGCAAGGGGAATGCCCACCACCCACCTCGGAGCTGAATTTTGTGGAGTACAAGTGTGAACAAGGATATGGGATTGGTATGTTTGGGAAGAGATGCTGACTTCTGCTCCCAAGTAATCCTTCTATTAGGCCTGGCTGGATCAAATCCATCATTCTGCCCAAGGAATGGATAGAAATTCAAGTTGACTTTTAGCTGCTTCAGTTAAAATGAAATTTATGACAATTTTTTTTCACTCCTCCACACGTGTGTAATGTTGGTGGTGCTACTGAGCAATTTGTGTAGTGTTTGTTCATGTTACCCAGTGTAGCCTGAAAATGGATTGATTTTTGGTAGGAGCTGTAGTTCCAGGAGGGGAGGTGGGAATGTGTAGCCACATACCACACACACTGGGCACCTGCTTCATTCTCTCTGCTCCTGTAACTTGAGCAGAGAGTTCCCAAAAGAAACAATTTGAGATTGCCTTTGCTTGCCTGGATCAGCAGCCATTCTTTCTCTATGGTGAACCTGGCTCCAGAACCTAGGGACAACTTTTCTTTTTTTAATTGGGGTATAGTTGCTTTACAATGCGTTAGTTTCTGCTGCACAATGAAGTGAATAAGCTATATGTATGCATATATTCCCCCTCTCTTGGACCTCCTCCCACCGCCCTTCCCATCCCTCTAGGTCATCACAGAGCACCAAGCTGAATTCCCTGTGTTATACAACAGGTTCCCACTAGCTAGCTATTTTACACATGGTGGTGTATAAATGTCAATGTCCCCTCTCAATTCATCCCACCCTTCATTTGCCCCTTGTGTCCACATGTATATTCTCTATGTCCGTGTCTCTATTCCTGCCCTGCAAATAGGTTCATCTGTGCCATTTTTCTAGATTCCATATATATGTATTAATATACAATATTTATTTTTCTCTTTCTGACTTAGTTCACTCTGTATGACAATCTCTAGGTCAATCCATGTCTCTACAAATGACTCAACTTCTTTCCTTTCTATAGCTAAATAATGTTCCATTGTATATATGTGCTACATCTTCTTTATCCATTCATCTGTTGATAGATATTTAGGTTGCTTCCATGTCCTGTCTATCGTAAATAGTGCTGTACTGAACATTGGGGCGTATATGTCTTTGGATTATGAAGCAAGTGAAGTTAAAAGTCTCTGTGGCTAGGGATAATTTAAAGTGAAATTAACTCAAATTGACTCTGTCTGAACTTAAGTATCATAGAAAAGAGATCCTGTTTGTGACAAAACTGTTGAGACTAACCCTAAGTTTTTAATTGCATGAGCAAGGAGAAATTTTCCAAGTCATTCTAACATGTGTAATGCCAGTAGATAAAACTTGAGTTAATGAGAAAGCTTGTTAGTTTCTGAGACTGTTCTTTACCATCTTCAATTTGCTGTTTGCACTGAGAAATCTTGTGGCCAGACAAGGAGTAATAGGATGCTGAGACTGTGCTTCTCGTGTGGTGCCTCATGAGAAAATTCTTATATCCCCACCCTCTAATTTCTACATTAATGTATGATACACTCACATGTGTAGAGTCCTTAAGAGTCATGTAATTCTTTGAGTTATACAAGTCAATGTAAAACAGGAATAGAGATAAAGCTGAAAAGAAACTTGGAGATCATCAAATTTTTAGACGAGGTAATAGAGAACCCTGAGAGTCTGCCTTCTTTGAATAGAATTTTAGGAGATATTCAGACTTCATGTACAAAGAAAGAGAGTAGGATTTTCCTTTGAAAGGCTACCACAGGACCAAAATCTCTGCTTTTGATTTCTCCTCATTTCCTCTTTTAATCAATAGGTTTCTTGGCTAGCAGAGTAATGATATTCAGTGTTGCAGGCATTATAAATCCACCTTCATGATTTCTGGGCCATTTTTTCCCCAGTTAGTAAAGTTTTTAGATAATAGATCCTGCAATTATCAGCTTCAGGAACTCATATAAGGAGAAATGCTATTAAAAATACTTAAGAGGCATCAACCAATCAGTATAGACCTTACCTGGCCAGAGTCCTGGAGTGGGGTCTCAGAGGTTTGCAGAGCAGGAATTAAATATTTTATTGCTGGGTCATACAGAGATTCAGGGATTCTAGAGGAAGGGGTATATGTGACCAGAAAGGGGAAGAGCACTTGGGGCGAGGGAGTTAACTTGGTGCTGTGGTTCTTTACTGGTGAGTGTAGGAGCATCCCTACAGGTGCATAGTCAATATCAGCCTTGCCTGTGACCATGGTAATGAGGTGATCTACAATATAGAATGACGGACTCTATGGACATGAATTTGAGCAGACTTCCGGGAGACAGTGGAGGACAGGGAAGCCTGGTGTACTGCAGTCCATGGCGTTGCAAAGAGTCAGACATGACTTAGCAACTGAACAACAACAACACCATGTAGAAAACAATTGGTTTTGAAAAACAAAGCTAATGATTCCAAGATGTGAAAGACTGAGATGCACGAAGTTCAGTGTCTATTGTAAATTTCTGTTCCTTCAGGTGCAGTGTGTTCCCCATCGTGTGTCGTCCCCCCTAGTGATCCTGTAATCCTTCCTGAGAACGTCACTGCTGACACCCTGGAACACTGGATGGAACCCGTCAGAGTACAGGTGAGGGAAGAGTCATTTTTATACGCTAAGGAGGTAAGACCACTAAGCAATTCTCAACCGGCAGCATATTCCCAGGTGTAATTTCAGAGGCTTTAAAGCGTCCTTAGAATGAACAACCACATGCATCCTTCCTAGAGAGAAGGACTGAAAATAAATAAGAAAAGAGAAAAGCTTGAGAAAAGATGACCCATATCCAAAGGAAAGTTTACAAGAATATAGAAGGATGACTGAGAGGCATAAAGAATGATAGCACAGGAAGGAAATTTAAAGAGAAAATTACCACTAATAAAAAAAAAAAAAGATTGTAAATCAACTCTATTCCAATAAAAAGTTTTTTAAAAAATAAAACAGCAAAATGTAGGATAAACCAAAGTTATGAATAAAGATATGAGAAAGGTAGAGAGGAAAAGATAAAATAATGAAAAAAAAACTGAAAACAGGGAAAGAATGATGAAAGGAAGTAAGAGAAGTTGATTTTATTTATGTAATTCATTTTATTTTTTAATGGCCATGCTGGGTCTTCAGTGCTGTGCACCGGCTTTCTCTAGTTGTGGTTCGTGGACTCCAAGGGGCACAGGATTAAGCAGTGGCGCACAAGCTTAGTTGACCTGAGGCATGTCCCAGACCAGGGATCGAACCCACGTCCTCTAATTGGCAGGCAGATTCTTAACCACTAGACCACCAGGGATGTCCCTCCCCTGGTTTCTTAACCACGTGAGCTCCTGACGTTCCCTAATACTACTGGCATAACTCTTACTGAATTCAGCGTCCACGCATCTGGTCCTTCTGAATCCTTGGTTCTCAGTTCCATGGCCTCCTCTGATCACCTTCACCTCCCTGACTTCCGCTCCCACATGCCTTCCTTGGCTCACTCTAATCTTGCCACAGTAGCTCTTGGCTGATTCTTGAACATGCCAGACACATCCCCCCTCAGGACCTTTGCCCTGTGGTTCCCTCTGCCTGGAATGCTCTTCTCCTGAGTATCTTCATGACCTGCTCCTCAGCTTCCTTCAGAAATTTACTCAAATGTCAGGAAGGCTTCCTTTGACTACACTGTCTAAAATGTTAACTCCCTTACACTTTGGTCTTTTTTCCCTCTTTTATCTTTTTCTCCTTAAGACTTATCGTGACCATGTATTGTATATATTTAACTCATTTATCTTATATATTAATCAGTCTCTTTCTGTCACTAGGATAAAAAGATCAAAAGATCAGTGAAGAATTATGGTTCACTACTATATCCCCTTCCCTGGTGGCTCAGAAGGTAAAGCGTCTGCCTACAGTGTGGGAGACCTGGGTTCAATCCCTGGGTCGGGAAGATCTCCTGGAGAAGGAAATGGCAACCCACTCCAGTATTCTTGCCTGGAAAATCCCACGGATGGAGGAGTCTGGGAGGCTGCCGTCCATGGAGTCGAAAGAGTCGGACACAACTGAGCGACTTCACTCACTCACTCACTCACTATATCCCCGGATCCTAGAACACTACCTTGTATGTAGTAAGGGTTCAATAAATACTTGTGTGAAATGAATAAATGAAAAAGAGAAAGATGGAGAAGATAGTGTAGTAATACATTATTTCTTCTTAGAATGGGAGGATGGGGATATCTCCCCACCTTTCTGGGGCTGTCTCCAGAAAGCCTGGGAGATGGCTTGTTTTATTAAACTATCTAATAAACAAAAACCTTAGAAGTTTGTTCTTGCAGAGTCACCAAGACATAGACTCTAGAGAGGTACCACATTTCATTTGGAAATCATTCTCAGATTGCTCCCTTTTCCTCACAGGCTAATTGTGCTGTGTTATTGGTGAGGATGTATGTTAAAGCAGGAGGATAAGGAACAAATACACAAGTATGATTCAGGGTTGGGGGGTGGGAGGAGTGTGACCCTGTCAATTCAATCATTCAGCAAACACTTGTTGGGCTTACCATGTGCCCTAGAACTATGCTAAGTGCTGGGAATATGAAGAGGGAAAGATGAGAGTCCCTCTATTTACAAGACTTAAAATCTGGCCATAAAAATGAACATTTATAATAATGCAACATGAGAAGTGCCTTGTTTGTGGTAGAGAACTGTAGGAACACCCAAGAGGAAGCAACTAGTTTTTCTGCTCAGGAACTCTGGGGGGCATTGTGCATTAGTCGTTCAGTCATGTCAGACTCTTCGAGACCCCATGAACGGTCGTCTATCAGATTCTTCTGTCCATGGCGTTCTCCAGGCAAGAATAACATTATGGGTTGCCATTCTCTTGTCCGGGGGATCTTTCCAACCATGGTCTCCTGCACTGCAGACCTTGGAGTTGGGGAAGGAGCAATAGACCAGGAAGCTTTTCCTTTGGGTCGTAAACTATGATCGAAGGGAACATTCTAGTGGGTAAGAAGTTCTGAAATTGGAGTATGTGCTGTGGTGGGGGAGAGGGAAGATGGGAGCTAGAAAGACGGGCTAGGACAGAGGCAGATGGACGAGAGCCTGTATGCGCGGGGCACTCCTCTAAGGATGTTGAGCCCACAGAGAGCGCTGTGCACCTGTGGGAGGGACTCTGGGAAGTCCGGTTGGAAGTGGAAAGGAGAAGGCCAGAAAAACACCTTGCCTGGTTCGCCCATCCCCTGGCCTTTCCGGACTTTCTGTACCATTTCCCACAATCTGTTGTGAAGGTTTAGCTGGAATTAGAATACCTGAAGAAAGGACTTCCGCCTCGTGTTCCTGGAGCGCCAGACAGAGTGGCCCCTGTCAGGCCCTCTAACCCAACTTCTCATGTGAAAGACTTCTCTTTCTCCATAAGCAGCTAAAGGGGGAAAGGCTTGGAACTTTTACAACCCATTTTCTCCACCTGGGAGATGAATTGCTTCAGGAACCCTTCTACACTTACTTTAGCATCTGCCCAACAAGATATCTGATGAGCATAGTCGGTAGATTCAGGATTTGTGAGACCAGAGTGCAGGCCTTCCAGTGAGAAGGGTTCTTCCACTTCCACTTTCTGACATTCAGAGAAGAGCAGTTCACTTTTCTTCATGAAGACAGCAGAGAATTGACTATTTCCAAACTAGAAAACAGTATCTTCTGTTTTATTAAAACCTCTCCTTTCTCCACTGTCCTTCGGGGGAGTCATTATTATTTATTTACCTTTATTCCATAGCATTTTGTTCATGTTTATATTCCTACTTCCTTTTTCAGCACTGGGCAAATTGTAGGTGTCTTATAAATGTTGCTCGAGTAAGCAAAGAAATTGCTATGGCATCATTTTCTACTTTGGAAGTAAATACATATTTTCTCCTCAAACTGGGTATGTTGCTGCAGCTTCCTACAGTTATATATAATTATATCCTTGTCAATTGCAAGTTGCAAACCCCAGAGAGAAAATGCAGAATTTATTTTCTTCTTAAGCCAAATATCATACGTTATCATTTGTATCACTGCATTTATCATGACTACGGTCTAGTCAGTAAATTCCTGGTTTTGGAAAATAGGTTATCCAAGCATAATTTTGAGGATGATAGCATCTAAGGAACACTGTAGATCTTTGGATAAAAAAGTTGTGTTTAAAAAAAGTTGAATTTTTATTTGTAATCTCTGTTCTTCATGAGCTACATAATTTTAGTCTGCTTTACTGTCCAGTGCCTCCATTTCCTTGTGTGTAAAATAGGTATAATACTTAGCTTGTAAGACTAGTATGAGTAACAGATGAGAAGCATATAACTAGAACTTAATTTTGTGATTGATGCATAATAATCTTTCTTGGTTGGTTGTCATTCCTGCTGGAGACAAGCTGCTTCCCCTCACTTCTGCCTGCCTCTTCTCAACTGTAATGACACACCATGCTTTTTATAATTTGGAGATGCAACTAAATAATGTAGTGGTGGGTCACATTGTGCAATATGGTTAGCAGCACTATTACTTTAGTGGCACCCTCGAGACTTGTGTCATATTTCTGAGTCAAAATAAAGTGAAGTAATTAAATTAGCTGCTTCCAGCACTGTAGTGGAACAATTGAAGTAACTGACAAAATTACCTTCATCCTTACCTTGAAAGAGTAATTTGTTCCTAAAAATACCCAAAGGTCAGAAGTTCAAGGGTTGAAAGCATAATTGATATTTCCTGAATCCCCAAATCAATATTTTTATATTGAAAACCAAGGGTTAATCCAATGTTAATATTCATTATCATACAGTCACTAACCACCACACTCTTTAATAGATATAATGAAATTAAGAAGGATTGCTTACAAATGAAGCTTGCATGGGATGCTTCACCTTTAGGGAACTGAAACTTTATTAAAACAGAAAAACAAGAAAAAGTCAATGGAAGCACAGGAGACAATGATGAGGTTATCGCGCTTGTGTTCCCAGATCCTCAGAGATAAGATTATGCACTAACCGCAGATGAACCCGTAATGTCTGCCATTTTGCGGTATTCAATGGCTCTTGAGGGGTGGGAGATCTAAGCCTGTCCTCACAAAGAAGTGCCTGTTACACCAAAGCAGTTGTATTAAATGTACTAAATGAAAATCTTCCTCAAGTAGGGCTTCCCTGGTGGCTCAGAGGGTAAAGCAGCTGCCTGCAAATGCGGGAGACCCGGGTTCAATCTGTGTTGGGAAGATCCTCTGGAGAAGGAAATGGCAACCCACTCCGGTACTCTTGCCTGGAAAATCCCGTGGACAGAGGAGCCTGGTACAGCCCATGGGGTCCCAAAGGGTCGGACACGACTGAGCGACTTCACTTTCACTTCCTCAACTAAAAGCTTCATGGTTTACATCGGTTTATCTTGAAGGATTTTCCATATTATACTCAATCTCAAGTTTTGGTGTCCTTTAGAATCACTAGTTTGTAAACGGAGCAGACCTGTCTTCCCCTCTTCGAAGAGGCTCACAAATGCCTTGGGGCATGTATTTTTTAACAGGCACCCCAACTAATTCCGTTGTAAAACTTTGCAAAACCCTACTATTATAAAATAAAATTCTGGCAACATAAATGTTTTAAGTAAAAGCACACCTATTTGGAGCCTGG